TACGTCCCCGGTTTTCTTTGTACATATCCTACAATATGTGGTGGGATTAAACTGATGACGGGTTTCAAAGGTAAAGTACTGTTTGGTCCCTGAGTGTCCTCAAATCCCTCGAGTCTCAACTTCAGCTAATGTACAGATCTAAGTCTGGGGGGCGCCTGCCTGTTCTTTTCAAGAGACGCCTCTTTGTTCCGCCAAGTAGTAATTCACTGAAGGGTCTGAGATCTTTAGATCAGGTCTTAATGGCCAAAGGACACCTTTTCTCATAATGGAGAGGACACAGGAGGTCTTTCTTCAGATCTCAGCCTTCCGCGCTGTGTGTATAGTTCCAGTGTAAAACTATGGAGGGGAGGGAGGGAGGGGGTGTCCTGATCATCCTGTAATCCACATAATCCCCTGCTGCTAAGGGACAAGACCTAGCTATGTGTGTGTTTGTTTGAGTGTGTGCGTGCATGCACGTGACGTTCTTGTTTGCACTTTCTACCTCCAACCAGCTCCAGTGGCTTTGAATACAATTGACAGGGACAAACACAGAAGAGGAAATCTCATCAATGGCTGCTAAAGGCAATGGTCCTTCTCTTTTCCACCTTCAAATCACATGTCATCATTACAAGCCAACACACCTAAAATGGTTTCACCAGAGAGGATATTTGGCTGAACTTTGTATACCAACAATTAGCTCTTGACCCAAAATGATGGATTATTCCATATGGTCGTAATTCAAGAGAGTTTGAGCATCAATCATTTCACAGTAAACAAACCCTAAAGATTATATATCTCATGTTCACTCAAGAATAAATGTGAATACTTGAACAAATGAACTGATAAAATATGAAGTGATTTAGGACTGGGAGCCACTTAGCCCTCATATTTCAGCCAAAAAAATCCCATAACAGATCTGATTCATGGAATGAACATTGGAGTGAAATAACCCCAAGGTCCTGCCTGCTAAAGCATTACAAAGAAAACTGAGGATTTCTAGGTCAGGCAAATAATTGGAAAAACTGACTACGGTTGTGGGTTTTTTTCAGTTTCATAGACCGCAGTTTTTTTCATTACGTAAAAAAAATATTTCCACCAACTAGTATTTAGCATTTCTGTCAGGGTTGGAAACCTGTAGTCTCTAAATGCAAGTGGGCTATTTTACTGGTTGCATGTGTAAGGTGGATTGGCAAAAGCACTCTCAGCACAGAAAGCCCACTGTCGTTGCAACACTGTCTCTGGACACATTATCAATCAGACGGCTGCCAAGTTTAACACGGTCAGACTGGAGGGGAAGAGTTCAGGGAAAGGAGTGTGCCTCCGTTGGCCAAGCTGTTACGCTGCCGGCTCCCATAGATGACAAATGGATTATCCAGATATTTTTACTCAAACAGCCACTGGTGCATGTGGCGACCGAGAGAGAGGAAAAGGAATGACAGAGAGAATATGATAGAGCGAGAGAAACAGAGGAAGACAGGGAGCAGCATATTTTCCAGGGCACAGCACCCTGCTGCTCAAACCTCATCGTCTTTTCAGAAAAAGGATGGAGTGTTCGTGAAATACACCTCTTTTTCAACACAGGAAAATGTGGCATTGATAGATGGACACTGTGCAGTTCAGTGACTGCACAGTGTAAGGTAATGCGGCAAAGACAAATATATTCTATGCACCACAAAAAGGTCTGTTCCTGTTTAAGAAGTCTATCCTACGTAAGGATTTATGAGTAACATTGGCCTCCATTCAACAATTTCTCATGAGATGAATACGGACAGTACTGCTATACGTATATAGCCTGTGAGAAACATGTACAAAGCTGTAGTCAAACTCTGCAGTAGCCAACATGTTGTCACATTCTCACATCATCCAATCTCTGAACACTCTCATACCTCGTCAAACATTTCATCAGCTTTACGCTACAGCTGCAGACACTTCTTGGAACATTTTACAAACCTTCAAACTGAGATTTGAATCATTAACATGGGATTTACCATTGAGCAAGAAAAGATTGACCAAAGTTGAAGAAGAGAATGACAAGACCCTTGCCACACATAAAAACCAATAAAACCCTCTCTTTGATCAAACAGCCCATGGTCTTCCACCGTCTCTCAGCTTACACCAAGAGAACATGGTCATATATGCAAGTGAAATGCTGAAGCAGAGGGAATCCACAGACCAAAAAGTCTTAACTGGCAGAAAACTGGCAATGGAGCAGGCTGTCATGACCACTTCACAGCATGCAGGGGTTGCCAGCAGCATCTGGATGGACAAGACTCACAGCTTTGCAGCAGCTTGGTAGCCCTCCAACAAACTATGTGGCAAACACTGCACAAAGGGCCTGATGCAGAGAGCGATGTTGACTGGTCCTGGAAAAGCTGCATGCAGGGGTGGAGGAACGAGGCAGTGTCATGGGGGGGGGGGGGGGGGGGGGGTGCAGCAGCAAGGTGCATGGTGACACAACCTCAAGATAATACGTTGGTATTGGAGGATTCTGGGAAAACTTCAGACTATGTTCGTGGAATTTTTGGAATGGTCCACTCAACTGTTTTATCAGGGGTCAGGGAGGGATGTTGACTGGACACAAAAACCGGCATGGCACCCATTCATAATCCCAGACTTCTGTTTTACATTTAGCTACATATATGGAGCACTACTTTTTTAACTGGTAGTATTCGTTGACATTGGACATACATTGTGTAACCAAATCGACCACTTTAATATACTTGGCTTTGCAGTGACAAGCCTGTATACCTTGGAGTTCCCTCTATATTTGACTAACATTTAGGGTACATCTAATCCAATATGCAGTGCTAAAGCAGAAAGTAGTGAACTATTTATGTTGGCACATGCAGGGACGTTGGGGTGGTGGATAATCGTGAAGCACCTTTTTCAAAATCTTTCCCTACACTTCACCATTCCAAACAGTATGCAGAAAGCAAACATCTTTTAAATTGTTGACATTGGAAAAACATCACTGAACGTAATCTTGGGTTTTGTGGAATTGTCCAACAATCATGGTTCCATGATCATCCAACCAACTGAGGCAAAGCAGAGCTTTCACCATCACATGTGCTTCAAGAGCACACTGTTGGATCACATCTTCAGCTGTCTTGAAACAAGAAGCTATGTCAGTACCATGATGGGGTGCTAATGACTGTAGCAGGTATTATTTGCAAAGGCCCCGTCAACAGGAATACAAAGTTTAACCAATTGGGTTTAGACGGGGTAAAAAGCCTGAGCCAAACAGGAAGTGTTGGCATAAAGGAGAGCAGCTCAAATTCGTGGATGAAATACCAACAAAGACGGTCAGAGTACAGAGGTGAACAGAGGGGTCATGAAAGAATTGGACTGAAAAGCCAAGAATCAAGAGCAACCCATGCAGGCACTGGATTGGTTGGAGTTCCTACCCAAATGGACTGTCAAGGATTCACAAGGCCATGAAGGTCATTGTGGGCTTTAAGATAGATCTAGTGGATGATAATTCTAGATGGATGAAACTTTGTACAGACATTCATGGTCCCAGAGGATGATAATGGCAGCACCTAGGGTTCCTAGGGAAATGTCTACAGGTTGGATTTAAACAAAATGTCTTCCACTTCATGATGAACTGTATCAACTTTGGTGATCCATTTGATGTTCCTAAAAACACCCTGATCAAGACAATATTTCAGATTTAAGAAATACTTTGGTTTATGGCTGATATCCCACAAAACATCATGCTTTGCTTATCAGCATTTAGCTCAAGCTCCACTGTACAATACAGTACAGTCTCACAAAGCTAGGATGGCTGGACCACTTTGTCATCATCTTTCCAATAAAAGGTACTTAGGTTTTTGGCTTGTACTGGCGTTTGATTTGCATTATTATAGGTTACATGGGGCCAATACTACATTTATTTCCTTGCTGTACTGTGGCAAAGACTGGCCCCCTCCTGGCCCCTAATCCTCCATCAGTCACCAGGTTCTCCAGAAGGTGTATCCTCAAACCACTCCAGGTTCAGGTTCCGGTGAAAGCAATAAATTACTGGAAATATAAAACTATAGATGCTGCTGATTTCCCACAGAAATCTTATATCTTCTTCTTTCTCTTTTCTTTTTGAAATTGGCAGCTGACAAAGTCTACCACATGTGGAAAATCTTTCATAACTTTGGGCCCAAACCAAACCATTAATAATGGATTTTTATGTCAAAGCTGCACGGAAGTCACCGGGACAATCAATTATTATGGGAACTTTAAAATGACTTTCGTGGAGATACAACGCTCCTCCAGGACATTCAATGCAAATTGGGTTAATTGGATGGAGGTCAGCCAAAGAAATGTGAATAATGAGGTTATAAATCTTAGCCTTGTTGTGTGTGAGCCAGCTATTCTGCTAATGTACAATCACTGTTAGTCTTTGACAGAGAGATTGGGATACATGTCCGGACAAACACTGGCAGCCTGTGGAACATTGCACCTAACCTCCGTAGCTCCATTTATCCTATGCTGCTCTAAGCTTGGTTGTACCATTAATGGAAAAATCTGAGATTTAAATCCTGGATTGTTGGTGGAGGGTTTTCTTTGGGTTGCTTTCCCTTCTCTGGTGGAAAGAAGAAAAAACTTCCCTGCAACATTTAGTTTCTACCCCTCCCCTTTTTTTGACATAGTCAGCCAAATTCCACTTAAAGCACAGTGGGCAAAACTGTGATTTGCCACCAATAATATAGGTGTTATGATTATTCCATAGTTCATTAACATTTTCATGTTCAAAATATGGTTAGCTGTCCATCAATGAGAATGAGGCATTACAACATACAGTATGTGCAGGGATGACTGCGAACTTTAAGAAAGGATGTAAGAGGAATGATTGAAGGAAGAAAGGGAACATTAATGAAGGGAAAGTCAAGACAAGATGTCAAACTGGCTGCTTTTTTATTTATGAGCTCGCTGGAGGTGGAGAGCTCTGGGACAGATACAGCCAACCTTTATGAATAAATAAAAAGGTGCACTTACTGAAATAAAAGCCTCTCTCTCCACACACAAACTGCAGCGTGTCGACCAGCTCCGCCCCGCACAGGGTCTCTGGGCCCGCCCCTGTTGGCGTCGGAGTCAGGGTGAGGACGCACAGCAGTAGTGAGAGGGTGCGGCTACAGGAGATACAGCACATCGCACTCTGCAGCACAGGGAGAGAGGGACAGCTTTAACATTTCCACTGCTGTTAAACACAGAGCATCATCACAGACAGATTTCATTTTAATTTAGTGTAAGTCGTGTATTTTTTAAGCTGTCACATAACACTGCTGGCCACTGAGCCTATCTGCTGTTATCGTTGGTGGCACGGTGCCTTGCTCAATGACACATCAGGGGGTGAAACACTAAACATTTTCCCACATAAGGTTTTTACCAGTGAACTGAAGCCTTTTTTATAACTTCCACTTTGCTCTGATAAAAAATAAATAAAAAGAAGAAATAAAAGTGTCCGTGGCCACAGATGGTAACTTTACAGGGGTTTGGAGATGTGGAGGAAAATGACTTAAATCCAAACTTCCACTTGGTGCCAGAGTCAAAGAGTCAAACAAGAGGCTGGGCAGCTCTGATGCTCCGGAGCGCCTGTGCGCAACGAGCAGAGCGTGTCCAAATTGAAAAGACACATTTCATCTTGTCATCTCGCCAATCAGCCCCTGTATATGTCATAATATGCTAATACAAATATTAATCAAGAACCTTTTAAAATATATCATTAATCAAATCTAAGTAATGAGGCAGCAGTTTTCCTTGTATGCGCATTATTGCGCACAGAATTGGACTAAAAACGTAAAAATTCTAAAAGCAGAATAAGAGCTGCAAAAAGCGCCAGGGATCCTTCCGGGAGATGGAAAACGGCTCTCCCGCAAAACCCGGTCGAGGAAGCTGAGTGGGTCAAATATAATAACACGAATAAACATACACTATCCATCTGCATCCAAACACAAACCGCACGGTCCCGACGCCGTTAAGTATTTCATGTTAAGCTGCTCTGTCTTAACCCCGCAGCCTAAGGTTGGATATTAAGCTCTTAATAATGCAGACTCAGCAGTAATTATGTGAAAGTTGCAGAGCTGCATTAAGACTTTCTGGAGAAAAAGAGCGCACAGAAGCTCTGAGGATGAAAACCCATTCATCCGAGCAGTAAAACTCATGCACGATTCTTGTCAAAATCTCCAACAGCAAAACAAAGTCAATTAAAGCACAAGGGACAATTTCTAGTTGGAATAAAACATAATTAAACGCATGCAGCACAATTTCTCTGTAACTGAATAAAATGATTAAACATATCGAAATAAATCCACATCTGTCATGCATGTAAAAGCATTGAAATGATCTGAAACTGAAACAAGTATTCTTACAGTTAAACCTGAGGATGCTGTGTGCGAATAGTGAGCAAGTGAAGGTGAATATATACAAAGGAAAGCAGGTAAGTTACCTTGAAGACATCACATAAATGCCACTGAAAGGAAACAGCGCTAGACATCCCCACGGGTCTCCGCAAGACAAAGCCCGGCGAAAATGAACTTGTTTGAAGTCATTAAAAACGTTGAGAAAGAGGATGAGATGCGGGCAATGTCACATCTCAATATTCCGACTTTGTTCCATTGCGCAGGCTCGTTTTGGAGAAGTGAGATTTAGCGAACAGGAGACGGATTTAGAGAAAATCCCTCACATTTATCTACATTACACAGACATTTTCAACAGGAAACAGCTGGGGCAGCATTTGCCTCCTACTCGTCCTAAGTTATTCATTAAGGATTTTGGGCACATATTCAAATAACGTCATTTCTCTTTTTTTCTCAGAACGGGATTGAATTTTGATCTCTCTAAGACTTGGTTAGTAGTTCAGATGTAGATAGAAAAGCGGTGCTACCCCACCAGCAGCAGCTCACACTCACACTCACACTATATGCGCTGAAAGGAGAAGTTAAAGGCGAGCTGGAGGTTTTCATAAGAGTGCTGGTTGTTGTACGTAATTTGGCACAGCCTTTTATCCAAAGTCTGATATGTTGAAAGCAATAACAAGCCATTAAAACAGTTTGAAAAACAACTTTAATACAAAATAAATATAATAAAATAGTCTCAATATTTTTTTTTATAACGAGAAGGCTACAAAGATATAACATTTAATTAAAAATACCTATAGAGAATATAAAGCAGATATAGCCAGAAAAGCTTAGTCTGAAGTCTTGTTCTGTCTAAACGTTGTTTTCTATGCAGTATTTGCTGATTTTCTATACCTTATATCTATAATTTCTAGTCAGAAATTAAGTAATCTGTTTTCTCTGTTGAAATTAAGTCAAAATATGAAGGTTTACCTGCAAATCAGATGTGATCACATGATGCTTTCATGAACCGAGGGATCTGAAAATAAAAGTGTGAAAAACAAAAGACATGTGACCAATAAGACATTTTTCTCATATTTTTCAGATTCCAGACAACTCCTTGGCACAGAATAGCCGGATTCTTTGCTCCCGGGCTGACAAACACTTGATGGCCCCCGCTGTGGAGAGCCACATGTTAAGGTGAGGGCCCCATGTTCCCACTGTGCCAAGCTAAAAAAAAAGCCCCAGCAATGACAGGAAACAGCTTCGCACGGAGCGGGGCTTAACAAGACCTGTTTTCAGCAGGGACGGCAAATAAACACTCATCCAAGCACTAAACATGAGATAAGTGCTGTGACCCAATCATAAAACAGGACATCAGCACATATCCCAGCATGCTCGGCCAGTGTGCAAATGCATCAGGAGCAGGGTGGGATCCAGAGGGGCCGAGGGTGGAGACACGCAACAGTTAGAGTTGTTGGGGTAAAGTGGGTCAAAGCACAAGCACGTCCACACAGGACACCGAAACGACTCACACGCCTATCCAAAGTTAACTACTGGTTTACAACATGAGGATTGGGGGGTCAGGGGTCACAAGATAGATGTGAGGGGTCACGAGATGAGACCATTTTACTTTGTTGTTGTGAGATAAAGGATTGTTTCGTAATGATGCACAATAGTAATGTTTGCCACACCCATGGTTACAATGATGTCAAATGTTTAAACACAGAAGTCAATGAAAAGCAATCACTAATTTCTGATGATCAATCCTGGTAAGTGTCAACTGGAACAAATAACAATAACAATAAATGGCTGGTTTAAAATAAAAGCCAATCCCACGAACAGTAACTCAACCAGCTCTAATACGACTCCAGGAAGGTGAACAGTAATCTAAATCTGGCGAGGGAATGGCGGACCCCACCACAACCAATAAACAGTACTATAAGAATAAAATAATTACTGTGTAAGTTTAATGTACGTTTAAAGACATGTAGTTGCTTTGCAGAACATAATGCAGATCAAAAATAGAAGGTTTGGCAATCAGGATGAAATTCGTACTTAAATCTATAACAACTTTGATAATAAATGAATCATTCTAAACCAAAATTACTAAAAGCTTTTCAAAGGGCAATATTTGTTTACCCATCCGTCTCAGATAGTAAATTCATCATCTTTGGATTTTTGGACTGACCTTGGAATGTAAATAAACAGAATAATTAATAATAGTAAACTGTGTTTCTTATACATTTGGCCTGTTAGTTAGACAAAACATGTGATGGGAAGATCTTACTTTGCATTAATCGATAATGACAAATATTGTAGTTTCAGCCCTGCTTTCTATAGGCTAGTCATATTTACACAAAATGCAGACGGTCAGTGCATTAAATGACATATCTGAATTCAATATCTCAGCTCCAGTCACTGTGAACGAACTGATCTCTGCTCGAGGCCCCGGGCAGGGTCTCTGTTTGCCTCCCTGCTGGTGGATTGCGTCACCATGAAGAGCTGCTGATACAACGTGGAATATGATGATGCTCCTCTGATTATAGAGACAAAGCTGCTTTCAGACCAGAGGATGACCTTGTTAGCATCAGATCAGGACGTAGCCGGTCACTGATGCCCATAAGCCCCTCTGTCAGTAGCTCGTCTTAGATGTGAAATTCTCCTCTTTCCCTGAGTCCTGACATTAATATAACCCTCGTGTAAACGCCTCATCACAGACTCTGCTGTTATCACTGTGGTCGGACAGTATTGATGATGGGCTTGTACATTTGCTGATGCAGGAGTAGGAGGAAGAAGAAGAAGAAGAAGGGGGGGGGCTGACCTTCCCTTGTTCGCCGTCTCTAATACCCTTCGCTCTGTACCGTCTTGGTGCCAGGTTTCTCTCCCTCCCTCCTTCCCTCTTCTCTTTGGTTGCAAGACTTTTGAAGTCCCCCCTGCAGCCCTGTCTAAGGAGACGTCCGCCCCAGTGAACTCATTGACCGGGGAAAGGCTGGTTTTCACTCCCTTTTGGTAAAGAAAGAGGAAGATGTTCACTGCAAAAAGATGTGAAATGTGGATCTTCGCGATAAAAGCTGTGAGAAATGTGGCAGCAAGCAGAGTTATCTCACCCCATTTGGAAGGCTGCTTAATGCGTTAACAAAAAGGCAACAATTGCAAAGAAGCAGACACTTTTTGCAGTGTTAACAGCATCTTGTCCGGTGTCTCCTGCCAAACAAATGTCCGAGTCAAAGAGAAACAGATACGGACAGCGGTGCAGAATGCAAATGAATGAAAGTGGATCAAAGGGAGAGGACGGGGGGAAGAATTAGAGAGTTTGAAAAGAAGATAAACCCGTGTTAACAGCATGGCGTGGAGGGATGATAGAGGGCTGGTACCCAAGATGGGAGGGAATGTGTGAGGCCGGGCACACACACAGGTTCACATGAGGACACACATGCAAATGTACACTCTTGATAATTATAATCCTTCTCTATGCTCATGATTAGTCCGAGGGGTTTTCCAGCTCAGTTGGTATGCGTTACCTTCTTTATCATCGACTAAAACTAAAGCTTGAAGGGAGGGTATATATTGCAACTTTTTCTATGCGTGTGTTACTTTTCAAAGCATGTGGGTAACACAGGTTGTGGTAGTTTGTGTGTGGCTCTGTTGTCCATGCAGTAAAGGCAGATATTGTTATCAAAGCCCTGTTCTGTGCCATACACTGTTCATATGGAAGAAATAAAGGTGCGTCATGGAGCAAAAGCAAGAAATGGGGCGCTTGTTTTGATACGCTATGTTTCCGTAGTAACTCGCAGGGGTCAAAGTATTTTGGCAAAAAGGCCCGGAAATTCTGTGGTGCCTGTTGATGATCAAAACCTACTTTAAAAAAAAAAAAATCTCTGGGACAGTTTAACTGCTTGTGATCGCTGAACATGCTGGAAGGGACTAGGTTTTCATCAAATCAGGAAATTAAAGTTGGAGGCTGCACCCCCTGATTTACTGCTGATGAAAACAAAGGAGCCACATGCTCAATGTGGACTCCCAACTGCAAACAAGCTGGTAGTTATTTAACTGGTAACAACAACTAAAGCTAATGTGATTGGGCCTGCGTAGCTAAACAAACAAGGAATAGCTTTACCATTGAAGTCTAAATAAAGCTTATCAGTTAAAGCTGCACAAATCAATATCCTTATACAAAAAATGTACTAAACGGCTTGGTGTTATATAAAAGATGTTGCTCATAGCGACAACTGACGAAGAATCTGCTTGAAAACTGGTGAAAACAAATATGACTTAAAATAAAGATATCTTCAAGTCTGCTGGATGTAAAATAAAATAAAAACCTGTATGCAAACAAGCTCATCATATCAATTAACAAGGTGATATGTCAGAGTTATGTCTTCAGTTTGAAACAGTGCCTCCATGTGGCCAAACACTGTTATTGCAACACTTTGCACTGAATGAAATAACTTACATAAATTGTTAGTGCTAATGCAACAGCAATAAATGCCCATTCACTCATGCAAATGACTTACTTTAGAGTCGCCTACTGGAATATAATATATATAATTCACTCGTCTTTAATTTTGGTCTCCAAAAACTCCTTAAAAAAATATGTTTACTGTTCAAGTGTAAATGCCCCGTTATGTTCAGTAGTGCTGTGCTGGTTCAAACTAAGTTCTGCTGAAATAATGCTCTCTATTGCAATTGGAAAGAAAGTGAAAATATCTAGTATTTTCAAAAGGAAAGCAAAAATGAAAGAAAACTGATTTAAGTCCAACAGAAATATTGTCTCTTTTCTATAATACTTCTGTCCACATGAACTGCAGGTGCAACGTATGGCACATACTGCAAACACAATGGGTGACTTATACGTGGGGTGTTTACATTATTGTGTGCACAGTAACCTGGAGACCTGTCAGAGCGTGCAGGCTTGTCTATTAGAAAGTTCGGGAATGTTCCACTGAGTCACGAACAAAAAACCAAAACAAATACTAAAACAAAAGCATGTTCGGTAATTACAGACTTAATATGTGGTTCCAGTAAACACAACTAGTCCTGGAGACAAACCAAATGCTCACATTCAGGACTTTTGATAATGTGCTGCCTCATTCTGAACGAGGGCATGAGAGATGCCCCAAAGCATGCAGGGAAGTGTACCGTTTGGGCCGTTTACCCATGACGAGGAGTTTTTT